ATCATCATCATCATCATCATCGTCATCATTATCATCGTCGTCGCCATCGTCGTCGTCGTCGTTGTCGTCATCATTAGGGGAAAAAGAAGAGGAAAGGGAAGAAGTACCATAACAGCATACAGATATTCATATATATCCCCAGCAGAGGTAGCCAGCCATTAACATTGTCCTGACTATGGTTCAGCGACAACGCTTGCAGATTCAATAGGAATGTGACATTCGAGCGGCCCATGTAGCGCTGGTTTTACATTGATTGGCGCCGTTTCAGTGTATAATTTATGTGGAGCTGCAGCATTAAGTTAATATTGGCGATTACCGAGAGAGCGTTCTGCGTGCGCGCATAACTCTGTCGGCTTGGCTGCTGGCATCGCATATGGTAATCGATAGAATTAATGTTGCTAGGCTACAGCCAATGGTAAATTGGCATCGGTTATGAATAAAAACGCCCCTGCTGCCTGTTATGTGATTGGCTACGCCTAATCGACTGCATGCTTATCGGGGCTTGCGATCTGACGATGACGAATATCGTGGAATTAGTTCGTTGTCGCTGCAAATTTTAACAAATATTTCCAGTGATGAAGAATATAGTTTTATTGCGTCTAGTATTTTACATCTTCCCGCAGTTGATCGCATTGCAACGATGCGCGTGGCTGCATCAGCTGCCGTATTTGTATTATCATGACTTGTAAATTTTAACTGAACACTAATGACAACACAAACACTTCTTCTGTAGTAATCCATTTTTTGAACAGTTGTATTATAATGTATCAAGCAATAAGGTTAATCAATCAGTACATGGATGGCTAGCTGGATCAGGCATTTATAGACACCTTCTTCCAGATTCATTCTCTCTATCTGGTAGGTGTCATAACACCAAATTTGAGAGTTTCCACTTAACCTTCTTCTACAAGATTATATTAGTGTAGACCACGTCGCTAATGCGACCTGCATTGCGTTGCAATCGTTGTAACATTGTGTAATAATAGTCACAATATCTAAATATTAATACTTATCATATTACCTACAGACAATTATCTATCAGCGCAAGAGATCTTTTCTTTTAACGATTCTCTTTCGTATGATATTGCAGGCATTACTTTAAAAAACATGTACGTACTATGCTCTAGAAAGATGTCAATACAATAAACAACAAATGTTATATTCACAGCTGGATTTACTTGTTACGCTTTTACCGTATTCACCAAGTTGACGGTTACAATAATTATTTTGTATAGTACGTGATATCAACCTATACAGAGATAAGCGATTGCTATATTTACATGCTACATGTACGTAAGTGTCCTAAAATGGCAAAACGTGCATACAGCCATCCTATCGCAACGACACTGACTATGTACAAAATATTATAGATAAAACTTCGCAAACTATTAAATGACACTATATGAGATTTCTTAACATTACAGCAACCACAAACACAACAATATGAATATTTACAACCGAGATTTAAGGACAAAATTATTATTAATATTGTTATTATCCTTATACACGAAACGCTCGAGAAACGTAACTATAAGCATTTGATGATCAATCCACGTTGTGATATTTTATACTCTGACGTTTTATTTGCATTTAGCTGCGCGCCGTTGTACCGGTAAACCGTGTCGCGGCAAGTAGATTCGTAACTTATTCGTGTAACGTATAATATGATAGTAATTGCGTTATAGTTTACTCGCTGGCTGAGTCGCCTGCGACTGATGCTGTCGCTGCTTCTCCGTTTCTTTCTGATTGCTCTTCTTGCTCTTCATTCGTCGGTTCTGAAACCAGATTTTTACCTGTCGCTCGGTGAGATTCAACGTACGCGCTAGCTCCCAGCGTTTCTGTTTGGAGACATACGCGTTGAATAAGAATTCTTTCTCTAGTTCGAGTGTCTGGTACTTGGTGTACGGCTTGCGTTTCTTCCTCACCGATACATTGCTAGTCCATTCCAGTGGGTTGTAACCTGAAGCAAAATAGGAGAAGTTATTGCAGATGGAGATGAAACAGAAACATTTTGACGGTGCACGGTAAAAATGAAGATAGCTTTTCATATTTGAATGTCGTCTTGTCGCGCGCGGTATTGTCGCAGTTACATATAGGCATAACAACAATTTTATATTTCGTTTCGTCGGCTGTATCCGCTATCTGATACAATGGGAATGCTAACATTTAGGTTATTATTATTATTATGATTATTATGATTATGATTATGATTATTATTATTATTATTATCAGCTGGCGAGGTTACAGGATAAATATATATAATAAATAAAATAATAAATAAATATATATATATATATATTTATTTATTTATTTATTTACACATTAACACATTGAGCGCCACAATTTTTCAAAACGGTAACCAGCCAGCGCCCACAATTTTTGGATTTTTGACGAATTTCATTTGTCTAAAAACAACAACTAGTAAGGTTAGAGCATCCCTTTATATATGTGTCTGAAGCTGGTGATATGCTTGAACCAATAAAAGAAACCTTTTTGTGATATCTTTCTTTGTATTTTTATACCAAGTATTTGAAAATGGCTCGATTTCAGAAGAAATGCTAAATTTCAACAAAAAACTGAGAAAACGAACTTTTACAGATTTTTTTAGATTACACATATATTCTATGAAAAATGCAACTTATGAAACAACTCGGGTAATACAGGTTAGGTATTTCCTTTCATAGGATGATCATCAATATCTAATAGTATTGTTTTGTAGAATGATAGGCTGCAAAACATTCACCCTTGTGCAATGAAACAGCACATGCTGAGCATATGTAACGAGTCTCGCCACCTAATCCACGCTTTACACAGACCCTGCATCGCCTAGTTGGGTACTTTCTGATAAAGTAATTCACACGACTGTGACATGGGACTTTGTCTATGGGTGTACTGGGCTGCCATCTATTGATTGCTAATGGAAACACCAAATGACAGAAATCTCCGTCATTTGCGCTTTACTGTTATTTTTCAAATGACGGAGATCTCCGTCAATGGCGCTCAATGTGTTTAAACACGGCCTGCAGATGAATTTTTTCTGGATAATAAGCGATGCTAAAGTTCCATAACGAAGGTTCTTTAGTGTTATAAGAATGCTAATGGGTTGATATACGTAACTGCTACACGTAGCAAGAGACAGCGGTAGCGGTAACACAATACTACTAATAAATTAAACATATATTTTCCTTTGTATCGAGTTACCACAAGTCTATATAGTATGTTAAGGAAATGCCGATATAGTAGATCGTATATACACAAATGATATAATAAGCCACAACTCGAGCTCACCACTCAAACTTTAAGGGAATAGGCCATCCCAAAAACTATCATACGTACGAAAGATTAATCTAATTTCGTATGATATACGGACCTCAAAGTTATGAACGATCCGTAATGCTTGCGAGTACGTGCGAAAATTACCGATGTGCCAAGAAGGATCCTTTCTCAACAAGCCGACAACCGACTACCCTTCTGTCTCTCTCCCCCTTCTCTTTCTCTCTCTCTCTCTCTCTTTCTCTCTCTCTCTCCCCCCTCTCTCTCTCTCGCTTGCGTTTTCTCCCTGTTTTCTCTCTAGCTTTTCTCTCGCTTTCTCTCTCTATCTCTTGCACTGTTCATAACAGGTTCCGACAATTGTAAAAATGTTTTGTCGGTCCGATGACAGTCGTAAACCTGTAGACGTCATCGGGTTTTACGGTGTAGAGCGGCGTAGTTAAATTCACCTAGTACATGCCAAATACCGCGCCGCAGTGGCGTACAGTATGTGCGAGCGGGTAGCGTAGAAAATGCTGAAGAGACGTTTACAGCGACACTTGTCTAATAAATAGTTAACGGCGCTAAGATGTCGCTTTACTTTCACTACAAACCATTTTGTTCCCAAACCGATCATTGTGTAACATATTATATGATAGCAATGCCACACATCTCGTCTGCACGATGGTTTGGATAATAAACGCTTCGCAACGTAGAATCATTATTTGGCATATCTCGTCCTATACCTATATAAAACAGTTAATTTATAATTGAGGAATTTTATGATATTGCTTCAATATGACGGGGGAACTTATTTCGGATAATAATTTCCAACATTATACTTAGGTTATGGCCAGTTTCATAAAATTAGCGGTGTAACGGTGCGTAACATTTCCATTGACGCATATTCAGTTTGGATACATTGATATAAAGAGGTGCATTTATAGTATCGGTACAGAACAGTCCTGGCATAATCCTACACATTCACTAGCGCTATAGATACAAATCTCTTCATCGAACGTTCATGCCTTCACCTATCTCGTGAGCTTTCCGTGTGAAATCACTGCCGAGTGCTGCAAGGCATGGCGGGGCCACACCACACTTACCGCTCTACTAGAAATACACACGAAGGTGCATTTCCCCCGCAAGCTTAGTTTAACGCCGTCATATGTTTGTGTATTTACGCCATGTGAAACGACAATATAACCAATATATATATATATAAAACATTTATATATATATAGAATACTAAATTGCGCTATGCTGCGTGGATCCTTACAATATCTAGATTCTAGAAGCACGACCATGGACTGCCATTTCCGCCTGCATAGGCCTAAGGGTTATGAACTGTGAAAATGCTCTGACATCTAACTCGATAGAGCACTGCGACGCTCGCTGACAACGTCCATGTACAATAAAAGAATTACTGTTTAAAATATATCAATAATAATTACAGATCTCATCTGAACGTTATTCCAATTATTTTTGACTTCCTAATACTAATTAATTAATTTGCGGCAGAACTTATGTTACTTTTACAAACGTATAACATACACGTAAAAATGGGTGCCGTAAGAAATTATATTGAGATAGATAAGCTATAAGCGCCCCTTGTATACTTTAAAAGGTTACAATACTGCATAGGGCGTTGGCATTCTACAAGCCGATTGTGATGGTTCATTGACATATGAGTTCACGGTATTCTTTGGCTTGAATCTTAACGAATGCATCGAAATGTGAAGGAACTCGCATGGTCCTGGTAGGTGGTGTAGATTAAGATCAATTGTTGCTACTATGTGGTAACGAAGAAGATGATGATGCCGGTGTTGTTGTTGATGATGATGATAATAATGATGATGATGATGATGATGACGGCGATGATGATTATGAAGACGACGAAGAAGAAGAAGAAAAAGAAGAAGAAGATGATAATGATCATAAGAGGAAGAGGAAGAAGAAGAAGAAGAAGAAAAGAAGAACCGTTTTCGTGTTTCCGATTTAGTGTACATTTTACGATTCAAATGTTACACGCTGTATGCCGATAAAACAACATTACGTAACCATCTTATTTGTATGCAGAATGATAAGCGATGTTTCCATTTATATCGATCCCTATTTAACACATGATTATATCATTTTCTAACATCTATGTTTAATATAGCGCTTATAGTAGTTACTGCCCGGTTGTGGACAACTGCATTGGCCCCTGGAGCCCTGGGAGCGCCCTCTGTACGCCTGCCATGTGGCGGGACCCATGTTCACCAATAACAACGAATCTCCCAATAATTCACGATGCTTGCGTATGCTGCCTTAATCTAACCTAGTATATCGTCGACTGGTGAATTGGTAATATATGTTCTCGTGACATTATTATGTATATATATACATAAACATATACATTAATTAATATATATATTTACTTTTGATTATTATTGTTATTTATTTGCTACTGATTATATATATGTATATATATATTATATATATATAAATGTGTGTGTGTGTGTGTGTGTGTGTGTGTGTGTGTGTGTGTGTGTGTGTGTGTGTGTGTGTGGTGTGTGTGTGTGTGTGTGTGTATGTATGTGTGTGTATGTGTGTGTGTGTTGTGTGTGTGTGCGTGCGTGCGTGCGTGTGTGTGTGTGTGTGTGTGTGTGTGTGTGTGTGTGTGTGTGTGTTAATTTGTCTTTATTTATTTAATTATATGTTCAATTATTTTATTTCATATTAATGTAATATATCCAAACCTAAAATAGCCATGCATAGTGATCGTATAACGCAATGATGATACATTAGTGGTCTAGTAGAACGTAATCAGTCTCTACACATTTTCCCATAAATATTTTAGCAGAGTACGTTATAGAGCCTACTCGCGCCGCATTTATGATAAAGTAAACATATAGTTAGCTAACTTAACGCTGTATATGTAGGTGGCCACGAAATAAAACATGAAGGAGCGGAGTGAAGGAATAAACAATCAACTGTCGACAACTTAACGGGAAAAACAACTATTAAAGGGAAGTGAAACAACGAACGTTAAACATAAACTCAACATAGAACATTTACGTACCTTATTGTAGGGTACCAAATATAACTATCTATATTCCCACGCAATTGTCTTACTTTACCCAAAAAAATGGTCAACCGAATTATTTTTGAAGTGATATATAAGTACTGCGGAAACAAGCATCCGTAAATAAATGTTCCAATCTACTATCCCATTAGAAATCAATTTCCTTCTCGTTTCCTTTTGCGCTGTTTGTCACGTCATTATCCGAAAACTCCCAATACGGACAGTTTCAAAATTGTCACGGCAAATCATAAGTTAGGCTCGGCATTATCCGATCTGGGTTCACTGTCTCATTGTTTACCAGAGAGGCTCGTCACGGCGCTTGCCGTTTTCCGCCTTCATTTACCACAACGACAGCAGATTTTCTAGCTTAAATGGCGGCGATAGTCATAAATATCGGTGCTAGTGACTGCTGGTCGACAGCTCGCTAATAAACATGATGCAGCTCTCAGATGTTGCCGCGCGTATATACTGCGCACACGCGCGCTTTATTTCCTACGCCGACCCAGCGCCAGCTATTCGCTGCCAACCTTTGACTCGACGAAATTTTATTCACGATTTTATTCGTGAAATTTTAACGTAAGAAGATGGCCGCTCACGAATTTCGTCTGATATACGTCTGCTATACCACTGCTATACGTCTGCTA